AGCCTCTCCCTGTGAGTCAGCCTCATTTGCAGACTGTGGAGGGAGACAACCACAACCTTGAGGGTATCATTTTCATTGTTTTGTTGGGTTGGGCTTTTATTTTCTTTTGTTTTGTATATGTTAACTCTGATGGCATGAGTAGCTATTTGAAAGATAGCAAGACATGCTATGGAAGCCATTATGTATTTACTACTGGCTTGTTTTGAGGCTCTTTATTGCATTCATTGTTTTGTTTTTATTGTTCCTATTCTATCCTACTCTGTTCAATTTTTACTATGTCTGAAGGTATCTGCAGCTATTGTGAAGACAAAAAAGGCATTGTGGTAACTATTGTTGATTTCAAAAGGTTTGTAAGTCTTATATCATTTATTCTGGTTTATTTTGATTGATTTTATTGTTTTATTTTCCTTGGTTTTTTTTCCTCTTTAAAATTAAAAAAAAAAAAAATTAAAGAACAAAGTGCCAGGGATTTAGCTCAGCAGCATAAGAGCCTACCTTGCAGGCGCATAGTAGTGAGTTCAATCCCTGGTACCAAAAAAAAAAGAACACACAATGGGGAGTGGATAGGTCTCCAACAAATGATCCTGGGGAATAATAGATATCCAAACAAATGAATGAAATTGGGCTTCATCATACACAAATCAATTCAAAAAGGATTAAAGATTTACTTGTTATGGTCTAAAATACAGCTCCAAGAGGAAAATCTTCATGACATTGGTCTTGGCAATGGCTTTATAGATAAGACACCAAAGGCAGAGGCCAAAAAAAAAATAAAAAGTGGAACTGCATAAAATTAAAAAGTTTAAACAGTAAAGTAGGAAATCATCAGAGTATAAAAGCAACCTAAGGAACAGGAGAGAAATATTCCCATATAGCTGATGACTTAATATCCAAAACATAAAGAAACAGAGGAAAGTGGCACATCCCTGTAGACAAGAGTAATCAGGAAGCTGAGGCAAGAGGATCACTTGAGTCTAAGAGTGTGAGACTAGCCTAGACCACACACTAAGACCATACCTCGAGGAAAAAAAAAAAAAAAAAAAAAAATATATATATATATATATATATATATATATATATATATATACAAAACCCAGGCACAGTAGTGCATCCCTGTATTCAGGACTGAGGCAGGAGGACTCAAGTTGGAGGCCAGCCTGGGCAGCTTAGCAGACTGTGTATTATAACAAAAACTAAAAGGACTGCACATGGGGATCACAATGTTAAGTAAAATGAATCAGACACACAGACCTACATATCAAGTGGTTTCTCTCATATGAGAAATCCAAAGTATAAACAAATCAAAGGCCAAAATAAAAGATAATGGAAAGTAGAGAGATAGATCATTCCCAAAGAGGAAGGGAATCAATAGATGGAGAGAGGGCGGAGGGAGGGAAGGAGTAAGGATGAAAAGAAGGAAATGGGATGTGTTAATACCAACTTTCCACAGGAATATAAACACTATGAACTACACACATGTACTAATAAACTATAATTTTTAAAAAGGGCTGAAGATATCGCTCAGAAACAACATTCCTGGGTTTGATATCTAGTACCTCTAAATAAAGGATTTTTAAAAATACATATATATGTACATATGTAACTCAAAAGTAAAAACAACTAATAACCTAGTTTAAAAAAGGGCTAATAAATGGTCATTTCTCAAAAAAAGACAAACTGACAGTGCAAACTGAAACCACAATGAGATGTCACTTCACATCTGTGTTGGTGAAAAATAAGAACCTTTCCACATTCTAAAGGTAAAGTAGTGCAATCTCTGTGGAAAACAATTCAGCAGTTCATCGAAACTTAAATATGATTCTCATATAGTCCGGTAATCTCACTTGCAGGTATACAGTACTACACTGCAAGAAGAAACTCCAATACTGTACCTCTACAATCCACATGGACACAAATGGATAAACAAAACATGGCATAGACAAAAACAGAATGTTCTTCAGCCTAAGGGAAGGCAACTCCTACAATGTGGATGAACCCTGAAGACCACATGATGAGTGAAATAAGCCAGACACAAAGAACAAATACTGAATGATTCAATTCACTAGAGGTATGTGGAATAACCAAATCCATAGAGGCAGAAAGTACCACAGTAGTGATCAGCAGCTAGAGAGAGTAGGGAATCAGGAGGAACTGCTTACTAGAAGAGTTTCAGCTTGAGGGGAAGAAAAAGTTCTAGAGATGGACAATGGTTTACACAACTCTGTGAATTACTCAATGCTCCATTTAAGCATGCTAAGGCCAGGGATTTAGCTCAGCAGTATAAGTGCCTGCCTGGCAAGCACAAGATCATGAGTTCGATCCCAAAAAAAAGAGGTAAACTGTATGTTAGTCACAATAAAAAAGCTAAACAAAAATTATAGCATTATATGGCAAAAATGAAAAGAGCTAAATAATTTTTAAAAATGTGTCTGCCCTAGGGAAAAAGCAAATATTTATATTTACTCTACATGTGACTAATATGAGAAAGAAACGCCAAACAGGAAACTTACTGAACCTGGTCCCTGTCTACACTGGCTATGTGTAAGGTGGAGTGCACACAGGGATGCTGGATTGAGGGAAATGGGGATGAGGAGGGGAAGAACTAAAAAACTCTATGCCAAAATTGAGTTTTCACCAGGGTAGGAGACAAAGGTAACAGAGCTCTGGACTACTAAAACACCCATTCTCAACCCAAATTACAAATATCTAAATCACTTAGAAATAAAGCGAAAGGGAAAAAAAAAAAAGAAAAGAAAAGAAAAAAAGAAAGAAAGAAAGCCAAAGACAGACAGACCCAAGGAACTGCACAGAGTCCAAAATAAGCTGCGTGCATGCATAGTTACCTAATTTGAGACAAAGATCATAAATGGTGCCAGTGATGAAACATTCATGTGGGATTAGAAAAATATGATTCCTACCTCAAGCTATACATAGCAAGTAAATTCCAGATGGGGTGTAAATTTAAATGGGAACAGTAATTCAACAAAGTATTTAGAAAAAAGTATAATCCTTGCTTATAACCTTAAGTAAGCAAGGATTGCTTTAACGAAAATACAAAAAGTACTACTGTAAAAAAAAAAAATAAAACACTTTTAAATTAACTGTGTTAAAATTAAGAATTTCTGGTCAACCCGAAACAGTGGTTCAGGTCTGCAATTCCAGCATTTAGGAGGCTGAGACAGAAAGATCGCTGTGAGTTTGAAGTGAACCTGAGCTACACAGTGAGTCAAGGCAGTCTGAAGTGCAGAGAGCTTGTCTCAAAAAAGAAAAAATTCTGTTCATCAGAAGATATCACTGAGTGTGAATACACAGTGAGAAAAATATTTGCAATACATACATCCAGGCAAAGCACTGTATCTAGAATAAAGAACTCCTGCAAATCAGTATCAAAAAGAAAAAGTATAAGGGACAGGGATTTTGCTCAGTGGCATAAGCGCCTGCCTTGCAAGTGTGTGGTCGTGAGTTCAATCCCAGGTACTGAAAAAAAAAAAAAAAAAGTAATTTTAGAGTGGGGTAAAACTTTTGAAGACACTTTCCAAAGGTTTCTAATGACTAATAAATATAAGCAGGTGCTTAAATTTATCAGTCATTAGAAAAATGAAAGTTCAAGTGCTTTGTTTAGTGACTACTATGACATGGTTGGTAAACTAAAAATGGATGGAAAATATCAAGTGTTGGTAGAGATGAAATGCAAGTGAACCTCTCATGCAGTGCTGAGGAAAACATAAGCCGGTACTACCACTTTAGAAACTATTTAAAACTAGCCACTGGTGTTAGCACAAATCTAACCCAGTAATTTGATTCCTGGGTCTATACCCAAGAAATGACACCCAAGGTCACCAAAAGATATGTGCAAAAATACTCATTGTCAAAACCTGAAACTGCTGAAGTACCTATCAACAGCAAAATGGAAAAATAAATTGTGTTAAAGTCACATAAGTAGAATACTGAAAATGAACTATAACCACATGCTAAGTAGACAGGTCACAAACATTGCTGAAAGACACAATACACAAAGTGTGCATACTGTAAGATCCCATCTGTACTGAGCTTAAAGATGAGCAGATACTAATCCAAGGAGTTACAGCCAGAACAGTGATCACTCTCCTTCAAGAATACCGGGAAAAGGCAAGGCAAGGACGGCTCTCTTGCATGCAGGGAAACAGTTTCTCAGACTGGACCCACCACCGCACACGCACAAAAGATGTGCATACTTCTCTGTGCATCTAACCTTCCAAAGTCTGGCTGGCAAGCTGATTCTCAATTTGTGAAATCAGGGCCTGGTGGCACATGCCCGAAATGCCAGCCTCATGAGTTTGAGGCCAGGCTGGACAACACAGTGAAATCTTGTCTCTCAAACCACCACCTGGCCCTCCACAAAAACAAGAATGGTAGGGGATTCAGAAAGCAGGTGAATCCTAAGTCAGAATTCTTTCAGCACCCAGAGAGGGCTGGTGCCTTGGCCCTCCAGCCTCCCAGGCCCCCTGTCCCCAGCCTCCTGAATTCCCATACTTCATCCCCCACCCTGTTCCCCAGATTCCTCTGTTCCCTGTCCTCTGGTCCCGTCCTCCAGCACTCCTCACCCCCCTGACCCTCTGGATTCCCGTCCACTGTCCCCCAAGCCCCGGTCACCCTATCCCCCAACCCCCTAATCCGCATGTCCCCAGCACCCACCCCCGTCCCCTTGTTTCTTATTTCCCTGTTCCCCAGCTCTCTGCCCACCCTGTCCCCTGACCCGTCTCCCTGTGCCCTGATCATCCGGGCCCCTGTCTCGATCCCTCACTCCTCCTGTCCTCCGACCCTCTGGCCCCCGGATCCCGCTGTCCCCCAGGTCCCTCGTTCCCGATCACACCTGCGCGGCCGTGGCGGAAGGCGGGGAACACGGACCGCGGGGCAGCGCAGGTGCAGTGGCTGGGCAACGACGCAAGGTGGCCTGTAGTGGGTGCGGGCCAAGGGCTGAGGGCCGAGGCCTGGGCGGGGAAGCGGTCGGGGACACGCACCGTGGTCTCCCGCACTTGGCTGTGGAAGTGTTGCTCCCGCGCCGACACCTCGTCATGACCTTCCATCCTCCCTTCATGCTCGCCGCCGCGCCGCCCAGGTCCGCGAGCTCCGCCGCACCATTGCCCGCGGGCTGGGACCGGTGTAGCGCACAGAGGGGTCGCTAAGTCGTCGTCTCAGAGTCGCCTCAGCTGCCCGGCTAAGCCGCTCGGTCTGCAGGGGGCGGGCGGGCGCCAGGCGGGGTGGGGCGGATACGTCACTCGCGAGCGCCGCGCGTCGGAGCAGTGCGCCGGCGCGAAGGTGGTGGGCGAGGGAAGGGGGTTGGCGACGGGGAAGTAATAGGGGAAGGTGGATGGCGTCCAGCGCAAGGCTACACTCCAGAGGTACTGTCTGTGCCCCCGGAGCGCCGAAGTTTGGTGGCGCGGTTCCCACGAGAGTTCCTCTTCACGGTACCCTCCCCGGGGGAGGCTGTGGGCTCAGTGGGAACTCGCGCGTCGAGCAGGTGCAGATCAGGCTGGGCCGGGCTGCGGGAGATAAGGGCGCGGCGGGCCCTGGAGGGCGCGGATTGCGCAACCCGCGGGGGACTAGGCGGCTACAAAATGCTTTCTGCACCGCCAGATAGCCAAGCATAATGATTCACCCCAGTCCCATATTGTCTTCATTTGTTTTTGTTACAAAACCGAAAATTTGTTTGGTTTCGCCTTTTCAGATGGGTTCTCCCTATGCAGTCCGTGCTAGCCTCAAACTAGCAGTCCTCAGTCTTCCGAGCGCTGGGATTACAGACCCCCATTCAGTGCCTGGCACATTATAGAAGCTCATTGTCTTTGTTGGATAAACAAGGAATTAAAGATGCAGATGAGCAAGACAGGGTAATGGGGAGCTGGCTTTGGTTGAATAACTGCTATATTCTACTTTACCTGCGTTATTTAATCACTACAATAACTGTGAAATAGGTATGGTTAGCTCCTTGTACTATTGAAGACACCAAGTCTCAGGTTAAGTTACCTGACCTGGTCTACACAGTGCAGAGTCAAACCTAGATTCATCTGGTTCCTTAACATCTGCTGTCCTCACAGTTCCACTGGTTCCTCTTGGGCAATAGAAGCAAAACCTTGCATCACTACCAGTGACACGTCCTAAATCCCCAGGTCCTTCGGTTGGGGTTTGCTAGGTTTGTACCTTAAATGGACCGGAAATGGAAAGGTTGGGCCCCCCAGGCATTTGCAGAGGTGAGACAAGGGAGTTCTACAGAGAGTGGATTTTCCTGAGGAAAAGAGTTTTCGATCTGTGAAACTGAGCCCAAAAACCACACAAATCACATGCAGTCACCAACATTTGTTATTTCATTTTGGTCGGGTTTAGTTTGGTTTGGTCTTTTTAAAACGGCCTCACTGTGTAGTTCAGGCTGGCCTTGAACTCAGTATGTAGCCTAGACTGGCCTCAAACTAATGCTGGGATTACAGGAATGCACTACCATGCCTGACTTCTTGGTTTTTAGAGTTCCTTTTTCTAGTTAAGGAAGAAGACTGTATAGACAAGTGTAGGAGGTACATAGAGATACACCATCCTCCTCATCTGCTTAGCAACTGTGAAGTACTGCAGACCAGCCAGTATAGAAGCTGAAAGTTCCAGTGTCTCAGGGCACCGCCTCCTGAGGCCTCTCTACTTGGCCTCCAGACTAAGGCTTCCCATGCATGGCTGCCTTCTGTGTGTCTGAAGCCTGATCACTTCTAAGGTTACAATCCTGTTGGATGAGGCCCACCTTGACAACCTTGTTTTTAACTTGCTTATCTCTGTTTAGACCCTGTGTCCTCTAAAATGGACACATTGTGGGGTTCTGGGGGAGCACAACTCAGCTGTAATGGAGCATATGAGAGCTCTCCTATGACTGACTGTCCCTCTCTTCTCAGGGGCAAACAACAAGGTCCACCACCAAAGGAAAGAGGCAGATATTGAGATTCTAGGAAGGAAAACAGAAAAGGATGCCTCCTGGGGTAGGGAACAGAGGAGTGGACACAGGAAATGCACCATGAGTTCCAGGTAGCGTGATTTCCTCATTTGTTAACGGATTTAGCTACATGCAGATACCAGTACCCCACTGCTTGGTGGTGCCTTGGACAGGTCAACACCCTATTGTGTTAGATGCCTGAACAGCTCTTGTAAAAATTATTAGATAAACAATACTTGGTGAGTTGTTAAGAGCATGGTCTGAGGAATCAGAGCACTGGATCTGAATGTCAGCATCACCGTTTCTCATGTGGTGGTTTTTATCTGCTCTGTACCTGGGTCTCCTGTTTGTAAAATGGGAAAAACTAGAGACATTTACCTGACAAGGCTATTATAGCTAAGTGACACAATCCACAAGTGAAATAAGGATGAAAACCATCTAAAAAACCCAGAACTGAGCATGAGTTGTGCTGACATTTACACTTGGTGAGGTATATATACAAAATGGTCACAATTTCAAAGAAATTCATGGCAAGAACTTAAAATGAAAAAGGCAAGCTTTAATTTGTAAGAAAATATACTGACTGAAGTACACATTAGAGTGGAGCTGCAAGGATCTAATCAGAGGGAACAAATGGACTGGAGAGGGATTCACTGGGCCGAGGTACAGGCCATCTCAGAGAATCCAAAGGCACACACAGTAACTCCACCTCCCCTGGTGTCCCCTTCAGCCATGGGTCACTGCCTCCAGTTGTTTAACAAGTATTTCATCAGAGGATTAGCAGTATAAAGTTCACCTATCCTTAACTTGAAGTGTAAAGGAACTTGCAATTGAGATTTTTGTAGAAAAAAAGAAAAAAAAAAAAAAAACGGGTGTGTGATTAGAACCCAGGTCTATCACCATGGTATGGCTATGGTTGGCTCAGTTTACTGATGGCAAGAAGCTGTGGCTGCAGAACACACAGCAGTGCATCCAGGTGTCTAGGAGAGTGTTATGGTTTATGTCTGGATGTCCTCTCAAAGCCTCATGTCACGAGGTGTGGGCTTTTTGGAAACACTAAATCTCCGAGTTTGCAATTGATTCATTGCCTAATACTAGGATTGGGGGATGTGAGTACTACATCTATCCTAAGGTGGGTAGTCTGCTTGCAATATAAGGGAGTAAAAGAGATTTGCTCCTCCCCTTTTGCTCTTGTTGCTTCTGCTGTCTTCTGTAAGCTAAATAAACCTTTCCCACTTTAACTTTGGGTGTTGGGTATTTTGTCTCAGTAATGAGAAAAAAGTAACTATGGCAAAGAGCAAGATCACACCAGCGTCAAGGTGAGGCATGTATTCAGACATCATTCACACACACACCAGCATAACTCAAAAACTCCTCCCAGAGTGTGATTCTGTGATTCAGAATCTACCTTCTGCACCCTTCCTGTGAGCCAGCAGCAGTCAGGTAGGGCCAGGAAAAGAAACAAGAAGCCAGTTTGTCCTTCCCATGAGCCAGCAGGGATGCAGGCTGGGAGACAAGCACCCTCCCCCCAGCAACAATCTGATTTGGAGGATCACAGACTGAGTTGTTAGCAAGAGAAGCACAAAAACAACTTGATGCTTATATTGTTTGATTGACTTTGCAGGCCTAAAGCCAGTAGTCTAAGAAAATAACAATATGAAAAAAAAAAAAATAACAATGTGCAATACAGCAACTGTGGGGGATTTCCTTCTGTCTTGTTTTTGAAATCAAATATTCTCACTGTCTTTTTCTGTTTTACTGTTTTGTTTTATTCAGTGTTCTGATTTGTTTGGTTTTATTGTGTCTAATGGTATGGGCAGCAATTTGGAAGATGGCAAGTGGCATCATAGCAACAATTGTTGGTTTCCTGTTTTGAGGTTCTCTGTCATTTATGCTGTTTCATTTTGGTTGGCTTTATTCTGTTTTATTTTAGTCTTTTTTAAAATAATAATTTTTTAAAGTAAAACCCACCTCTAGTCAGGCATTGTGGTGAATACTGTAATCCCAGCACTTGAGAGACCGAGGCAGAAAGGTAAAGGTTGCCACGAGTTCAAGGCCAGCCTGGGCTATGTAGTGATTGAAAGGATTTTGCCCTAAATGAGAAGCTGTAGTGGTAGGTGGCACTGAGAGGCAAAAGGTCATCTTTCCCATCCCTAAGTAATTTACCTGTGGCATGAAATGAATTCCAATGGGCTACCTGTGCATCAGTAATGCCCCTTAGGCTCCACCCCAAACCCAAGCTACATGTATGCCCCCACACATGTCCAGCAGAGAGAAAGCCAGACCCCTGAGGTCATGGAGTCTCTTTCCGCATTCTTAAAATAAAGGCCACTTTTATTTCATATTTCTTACCTTTCTGGCCGCGCCAAAAATTCTATTAGTGATATCCTGTCTTTAAAAAAAATCTGACTTCCAGAGGATCAGCTTCCTAGCTGGTGGTATGCTGAATGTGAATGGCAGGAAGTAAAACAAAGGATGCAGAACCAATTGGCCCCAGCAGGCACAGTATCAAGGAGGCAGCAGGAGGAATGTGTCAGACAGCACAGAAGATATGTCTTGCAGGAGTTGCAGACCTGGCTTTCCTTGTGAGCACCAAAGGGGTGCAATGAACCCTTCCTGTCATGTTGTTAACCTGAAGGGATGGAGAAGTCCCAGCACTACTCAGTCCCCTTGAAGTGAGAGGCCCAAAGCCAAGTTCAGAAACTGACCAGAAAACTGTTCCAGTGAGGAGCTGTCCATAAACCATCCTAGGAGAGAATGAGGGCTCTAAAATGGGGGCTGGACTCAAACTTTTTACACCAGCTTTTTAATTATACTTCCAGGGGAAGGGGAGGAAACACCAAAGATTGCACCAGCACTGTGGTGCTCCTAACCATCCTGTCCCTTTACAGCATTTTAAACCCATTACCAGTGAGCATGCTAAGACCATTCCACTCAGGAAGTCTGCGGAGTCATTACTGCAACAGACTTCAAAAGCAGGAGATGCTGCAGGCATGCCCAGCACACTGCCCTGTGCTCACTATAAACATGTTAACAAACCTCCAGGACCTAAAGGACGCTCAGGGAGTGGATCTGAACATCTGACATGGGACATGATGAAGTCGTGCAACCTGGGAGGGTCAGAAAAGCACTAGCTCAGGTAGGGTTGGTTCACTGCTGAAGAGTGACCTTCAGGAAGTTTTCTGTGACTGTTCAAGGCAGCAAGACAAACACACACAAATATAGAACCCAGTGTTGTATCTGATTTCTTCCTGTGACATTACACACTGGGAGTTCTGTTGTCTTTCTCAGTTGTCATTCTGGAAGGGCAGAGGTCACAACTGTAACTTCGCGTAGATGGTGCTGGGAAATGACTCTTCCAACAGATGCTTGTCACTTCTGCAAGAAGTTTTCTGATCAAGCAAAGGGCACTCTACCCTGCACACTTGAAACACCAGTGCAGAAGCCACCCAGATAGTGCCTGCTGGGAAATATAGCTTGTGCAGAAGGCATTATTTATTTAACCAGGGCTACACCAGCGCTGTCACAGAATGAGACAGAAAGATGATGTCTGTGAGCCCAAGTACAGCCAGGGGGCGCTACAGCAACACTGAAGCTCAGAGAAGCTGCCGGTCATATATTAGAGTATCAAAATATTTAAGACCAAAGGTGATCTTTTAAGTCCTACTTAAAATTCTCTTTAACTGTGGATTTGGATTTGATACAGATCTTAGAGCTCTGTCTCCCTTCCTTCTTCCGTCCTTCCTTTTCAGTACTGGGGATTGAACCCAGGGTTCTGCACATGCCAAGCAAGCACCTGACCACTGAGCTACATCCCCAACCCTTTTTATTTTTTATTCTGAAACAGGATCTAAGTTGTCAGAATAGTCTCATGCTTGCGATCCTTCTACCTCAGCCTCCTGGTGGCTGGCTAAGGCTATGTCTTCCAGTAGAGTGGACTGACACCCTTACAGTTGAGAAAATAGAGGCTCTGAGACCATGCACACTTAGCAGTCATCCATGCACAGCCTTCTGAGAGCTGGAGAGCAGGTGGCCAGACTCCTTCCTCCTCCTGTATCCTCAGGTGCTCCTAATGTGAACAGATGATAAGGAACCACACTGCACGTGTGATCTGTTGTGTAAATTCACAATTACAGATGAAGAAACAATAAGATCCAATAGCATATCCAGGATTTCACAGGTAATAAATAGCACAGCTGACTGCAAGTTGCAGACATCAGCTTCAAGTGAAGAGCGCTCTTTTTCCGCTCCTTTTGGATTCAACAGGAGAGAGACAGAGTGCAAAGCAGCACCAGAAAGATTCTCAGCATTAAATGCTATGTGTATAAGAGAGTTACAGACATGGATGTAGTTACAGATACTGACATAAACATAAGGTTATGTAGATATACAGAGACAAAATAGTTACAAAATGGCTATGATGCTGGCCTGAACATGCCAGCAACTTTAGAGCCTAACACAGTATAATCACAAGTTCAAACCCAGGCAAGTAACTTAGCAATTCCTTATCCCAAAATAAAAAACCAAAAGAGGGCTGGAAATATAATTCAATACAAAGGCCCTGGAGTTGATCCTTAATACCACAAAATCCATTTTTAAAAATCTTTTTCCAGTTTTTTTAATTACAACTTGTTGTAGTACATAATGATCACATTCTTCATGTGGAGCTAGCACATGTACAAATGCATCTTAACTTTTAACCACCTCCCCTCACTTCCCTCCATCTCTTGGCCCCCTCCCTTTCCATTTATCAAAAAAAAAAACTTGTTTATTTTTTGTTTTACTTATAATTAGTTCATTAAAAATAAAAAGGATTAGGGGTAAAAAATGGCTATGATGTTAGAGATACTGCAATATCATTCTTTCTATGAATATAGCTATGGTGCAGACATAGATACATGGTTTTGTAGTTGCTTGGTAGATGTAAATACTGAAAAGAGTCAGAGACAGACATAAAGTACCCTTGAACTGGGCAAGCTGAAAACTAACCTACAGCTGAAAGGCTCCTGTCTATGCAGCTCAGATCCGGCTCATCCTCTCCTATCCAGGTCTGGTCAAGAGGAGTCCACAAAGGTCAGGCCTATTCTCCTCAAAGGTAGACAGTTCCGTGGTTGCTGCTTCCATGTGTTCAGAAAGGAACGCTAAAACTCCCCTTTCTCTTGCTCATCAAAATCTGATTTTTATGTAACTAGAAAACTTTGGGGCTTCCTGCACAGTCTGAGATACTTATTTACAAATAGTCTGGTTTTTTCTTTTGTACATGAGGATACAAGATAAAATTCAAAGGAAGAAAATAAAGAAGAAAAAGTTACGATATTTTTACTATCATAAAATTAAATGATAATGTAGCCACTGTAACACATTTCTTACTGTGGTAGATTTTTAAGGTAATTATATGTCTCTTCAATTATGTATTTGCTATCAACTTACTGCATAAAAGGCTTGCTTGTGAATTCAAGATTACCTGTAAATTTATAGTGCTTTCAAGGGAAGAGAGGGATTTTCAGAAGTACTTCCAATTCCCAGTGTCTGGTGAATCCTCCATCAGCCATCAATAACACCACCTGCAGAAATCTTCATTCTTATAAATCCCACCTGACATCCATGTAAAGCACACTTCTGAGGAGCGCTCTAAGCACAAGGAGAAATAGCTGCATGAGTTATACCAAGTCAGAATGTGGAAAAACATCCAACCTTGATTTATGAATTCAGAATGCTGTGGAACATGTTCTGCTATTCTAAGTAGATGCTGAGGTTTTTCTATGAGCTGACTGCCTTGATAAATGTTGACTGTGAACACTGTGAAAACTACTTATTTGAAAAACATTTTTTTAATCATCCTTTGGTCTGCCTCATGCTTGTGGCTCACATTATCAAGACTGCATGGCTCTATCACCCACACAAAGGTGCTTGTGCTTTGCTTGGTTTCTCAATGTAAAGACTTTATTGAAGCCAAGGATGTAGCTCAGTGGCACAGCACCTGCCTGGCAAGCATGTGGTCCTGAGTTCAATCCCTGGTATCAAAAAAAGACCATTGTACTATTAGGGATGACCTTGGGCTGCCTTAGCCTGCACCTGCTCCCAGCACCTCACCATGTACTTTCAGGCTTCTGCCTGTTCAGGAAGATTGGAAAGGACCTGCATGGGTAGAAGAGGCCCTTTTAGAGTCATGACATCACATTGCATTACAGAGTTGTGCCAAGATGTGTTACCTTAGGTCACCTCATCTGGCACCACTCTATTATGGTGTATAGTGTTGTGTTGCATTACCTGTGCTATGTTACATTCTTCCTTCGCAGTATGTTCTTTATATTTTCTGAGACTATAAGGATAGCTGCAATATAGGCAAATAACTTTGTATAATTTTAGATTTATACAAAATTATAAATACTCGGGGCTGAGGATTTAGCTCAGCGGCATAAGTGCCTGCCTTGCAAGCAGGCAGTCGTGAGTTCAATCCCCGGTACCAACAAAAAAGAAAAAGACAAAAAAAAATTATAGATACTTAAAGATCGAGTATTTGGGTTAAAATGATACATCTAAACTGTCTAAATTCAGTTGGTAATTATTCTTTTCAATGTTGTGATTTTATTATTAAAATGTCTCTTTTGGTTTTTCATTTAGTTGTTTTAAAAATTGAAAGATGGTAGAGCGTGGTGATACACGCCTATAATCTCAGCACTCTAGAGGCTGAGGTGAGAGAATCACTGAAAGTCTAAGGCTAGTTTGGGCTCCAAAGTGAATTCAAGACCAGCCTGAACTACATGTAGTGAGACACTGTAGCTAAAAAAATGTTGAACGCTAAGCACAGTGTAATTCCTGTAATCCCAGCTACATGGAAGACTGAGGCAGGAGGATTGCATATTCTAGGCCAGTCTGGGCAATTTAGTGAGACTTCATCTCAAAAATAAATAAACAAATGAACAGTTAACGGCAGAAGCCTCAAAACTCACTCCACCCTCAGCCCAGCCTTTGGTTGAGAGTGCATGCATGCATGCATGTGCACATGTATATGTATGCACATGCTAGTCTTGTGTGAGTGATAATCTTAGAGAAGAGATTATGCCACTAAATGGAATACTCAGTCCTGCTGTTTGAGCTCCCAGAGTGTCAGGCTCTCCAAAAGTAAATGTTGATGCAGGCGATACTGAGTCCTGGACATTTCATTCCAATGCTGTCTGTGCAGCTCTTCTCGTGTCTGGAGTAGGGCTCAGCATGGAGGGACAAGTCAGTCTGAAATTGGAAAGGCAAATAAATATGCAGCATTCCGTTACCACTTTGAAGGTACTGGATCCACTTCTGTAGCAGGTCACTGGCAAGAAGCCACACAGCACTCCTATTCAGAGAGACTCGTTTCAGAAGCCTTGGGAATCTTCATGAAGTAAATCAGATCCATTTTCAGAATTGTCAGGGCTGAGCTTTGTTCTGAAGTCATGAATGCTCTTTTCTAGTTGAATTTAAATGCTGCTTCATTATATCAAACCAAATTGGGTGGTGGTGGTGAAAGCCTTGAGCCTGGACATTAATTAACTCCACTGACTTACAATGACTTAACAAAGCATAATGTCTAACACTGTAAAACTCCTAATCTACTTCTGTCTCATTAGCAGAAATAAATAGGTTGGTGTGAGGTGCCCAGACGGATACAGTAGACAGGTTTGGTGCTGTTCAAGGACAAGCCGCAGACTCAGTGCCTGGGTCAGTTGGAAAATGTGTACTCCTTTGTTTTTCTTTTCCCAAAAAGAGAATGAGAAAAGGAGTTGAGAGTAGCAGCTCTCTCCAGCTCTGCCACCCACTGACCTGGTCAGTGGCCAAGGCCCCTGAAGAGCTTCCTCTTGACTCCTTACCTGAGCAGCGGGGCCAGCAGGGGGACAGTCCAGGCCACCAGCTGGCCAACTGTGCTCAGCCCTTTCAGTGTCTTTGCTAGGAGCAAGGTCTGAGCCATGGGCACACAGTGATCCCAACTGCATGGCATCTCCTTGGTGAGAATAAGAAGGGACATCTGACTCTCCTTAGTGAGACCTTAGTGAGACTCACACTCCTGCACGGGAGGGGTCCAGGAAGGAAGACACAAATGTAGTAATTCACTAAAAGACCAAATAATTAAGAAATGCATTATAGGGCATTAATTGGCTGAGGTGTAAAGCACAGATTAGGTGACCACGAAAGACTGAAAGAAGAACCAAGGGACAGAAAGATAAAAGAGGAAGGTAGGCAGTCTAAGGGCCAGGGCTGGAGGGACACAAAAAGGGAAGAGGAAATGAGTAGCAGGGCACCCAGACTGGAGGCTCAGCCAGGCAGCGGGACAGCTTCTGATTCCCCTTCCATGGGCACAGGTGACCCAACCAGGTGCCTCCCAAAGCTCGGCCTAGAGCAGAGGGCTTGCCCGTTCCTCTCTTGGTCCACGTAGGGATTCTGCCACAGGAGCAGGAAACCTGGCAGACACACTGGACAGTAAGTGACCAGTGATACACACCCCCTCCCCCACCCAGGGAGCCCCAGCTCTCCTACCACTCAGCACACAGGTGACTGAGGAAGCTCCTTGAGCCCACAGGTGACACCAGCCATGTGCCATGTAGCACATGTGCCTACCAGAGCAGCACAAATGAACCCACAGACAAGCCTGGCACCATGAAGACTCTGAACTTTAAATGGTCACTAGACCCATATTCTGCAAAAGTAGGCCAGGATCTTCAGGCTGGACAGGATGATGACTGCAAAAGCAAGATTTACATAGGACGAAAGTCTCCAGATAGAGTAACCACAAGACAATAAAAATTCACCTATCGGACTGAGAACCAGGAAAATCACTGCTGGAGAAGCAACACCAATCAACGGATGCATCACCAAGATTAATCAGATGTTAGATTTAACAGACAAGGTTGAAAGTAGACACAACACAACTGCTTCAAGGCGCTGGGGCACAGCTCGGTGGAAAAGCATTTGCCCAGGGTGTTTGCAGCTCCATCTTTAACACAAGTAAGTGAAAAAATAAGTGCATTTCAATGAGCACTGCCAGTTCTCTGGACACAAATGAAAACCTAAAAACTTGGGCCAAAAAAAGTTGCTTAAAAAGAACCAGTGAGGCTGGGGATTTAGCTCAGTGGCACAAGCACCTGCCTGGCAAGCACAGGATCCTGAGTTCAACTCCCAGTACAAAAAAAAAAAAAAAAAATACCAGTATTATCAAACTGAAAATAGAATAACCAGAATAGCAAACTCACTGCATAGGCTCAAGAACACAGAGATGGCAGAGGTAGCAGCGGTGAATTTGAAGTTAGCTCAATAGAATTTACTCCCCTGAGCACAGCAGAAAATAAACCAGAAGAAGAGTGAGCAGAGATTCAGGGATCGTGGGACAGTGACAAAGACAGAGGAGAACAAGAATCTTCAGAAAAATGATGTTGGAAACTTAAGGTTCTTAAAAGACACAAATCTACAGGTGCAGAAAGCAGAACATAATCGCAAACAGAATGAACCAAGAGAAATCCATACCAAGTCACATTGTCATTCAACTGCAGGAAATTAAAGACAAAATTTTGAGGGCAGCCCAAGAAAAATCATGAGATGAATGTAATCATTATTTATATCTAAAGTATACCAATAAAATTCAATTTTTAAAAAGTCGAGAATTTTCTTTAAAACAGTTAAGATGAGCCAGGGATGGTAGCACATGTCTGTAATCACAGCACTCTAGTAGGCCGAGGCAGGAGAATCACAAATTCATGAGACTTCGGGGGACATTTTAGATCTAAACCCTAACCACCAGGAAAGGTAAGAAATAAAATGAGTTGACATGGTACATCTTGCTGGCCTGTGACTGCAAGACTGGTATACAGCAGTTTTGCCTTTAGCAGAAAGTCATGTTTTTCTTTGCTGTGGATAAAGGAACTCATGATTCTGGCAGTGGGTTCTAGGCCAGAATGGGGAGATGAAGGGCTCTCCTGAAAAACACAAACAGACTACAGTAATAGATCTGGATCATCAATACACTGATCAAAAAGGGGTTCATGTCAGCGTGGGCTTGGGCAGAGTCATCCGGGCTCTCCACACTATAGCCACACTGAGGCACTTCAAGGCTTCCTCAGCTGGCACTGTGGAAGAGACGCCTTTGGTGCATATGTGCCCTTGAGGCCACTGGCAGGACAATGCTGCTGTCCTGTGTCAAGTTCCCTTGGCACAGTGGCATCTGGCACAGAAGGCAGCTAACTTCCTTTCCTAAATCCACACCCAGGACACCCTTGATGGTATTTAAACTTCCAGTGCGATCTGGGTGCAGGAGACAGGAGCGGGGTGTAGGGAGCAACCCCAGCACCTCGGCTCTGCAGACATGTTGTTGAAGGTAACTCAGACCACACTACTTCCATCAGTACTTTCCTGATCCTGGATACCACATGTTGACTCCTGACTCAGGGCTGTAGGTCTCTGGTGCTGTGGGGCTTCTGAACCTAAAAGAGAATGTAAACTAGGGTAGAACTGCTAAGTCAGGATTCTGCCCCAAAACTTCCCAACCCTGCCTGCTGGCCTTAGCCTCTGCCAGGTGCACATGCTCAGGCTGTGAGCGATGGGAAGGGAAGAAGCAGGAGCAGAAGGAAGACTCACCGGCTCAGGCACCTCCCTGGGACAAGGCC